CATAGCGAGGAAGGGCCCCAGCTCAGCTTCACACTCCTCCTGATGGATGTTCGTGTCGAGCAAAGGGATCACCTGGTTAGATCATGCAGGCGAGATCTGTTTTAATAGCCCAAAGGCTGGCTTTCGCTTTGTTCACTTTTTTTATTAAAGGCTAATTTGACAGACTATTTCAGCTCGAGAGAATATTTGGAAAAGCTTAGGGTCTGAAATAAAAGAGTACAGAAATATTAGTCTCCTAGCTGGTTACTAGTGTGTGCCTTACTGTAGCTACTACAGCTATATACACATACCCCCCAAAGAAAATGGTAGGACCAGGGAGGAATTCACTTCCAGTACATTCAATAATACAGAGGCAAACTAACGGCACCAAGTATAAAAGTATAAAGCCTATCTACGCCACCGCTGCTACGTACTTACAGCAATGTGCTTTAATTACAGATACCACTGAGACAACAGCCATTTTCCCCCATTGTGGCCTTTCTAAAGGCGCTGCCCCTCCGGAGGCTGAGCAGTGAGAGAAGCAGCTGGCAGAGTGCTCAGAGCCTCTTTTATGTGCAGTTAGTTGCCCACTACTTTCCAAGTGTCAGTTTTGCATTCCAGGGCTGTGAACTATGTCAGATTATGTCTTTTGAAATAACTCAGACCACAATAACTAACAGAAAAATCCAGTTACATAATCTTTGTGTGCAGTGTCTGTAGCACTATTTTTAAGTGCATACTTCTGCTGTATGATCGCTTCTTAAGTTATAGAAAGGGCCCTACAAAATCACTCTGCCAACTTAGTAGAGACATGTCTGACCCCACCCAGACCCAGAAGTTGCCTGCTCTTTTAATATTAACATAACCATGTAGTCAGGACTAGAAAGTACTCTGGTTCCATTGTTGAACTCATGGCAGGTTATTCTTGGGGCAAAGTGTCAATGTATGTTTGTGACACTGTGTTGAGCACCTAAGCAAGCCCTTCAGCATCGAGGTTACATAAAAAGGGATGACACCGTTGGGTTCAGGTTACCAGAGCCATGCGCTTCTGTATTCTGATCAGGTAAAGATCAAAGGGGAGGGAGGAAAAGATTCCCATTATATAACAACTATCAGGTTGGAAGAAAAAAATGACTGACCTTACAGTAGAGCAGGAAAAAATATCACAACAATCAGTAGCTACTTCCACTGCAGAAACATTTGTTTGGCAAATGTAACTGTCCTTCTCATGATGCATCAGCATTTTTTTTTTTTTTCAATCTTGTAGCTCCCTAAAATTACCAGTGAAGGTGCAAGCTCCTATGGAATTGAATCCTATCAGCAAAAGTTTTACTTCTCTCACCTACCTTCTGTTTAGCCTTTAGGAACATGTCACAAAACCCAAGGCACCTTGTGAACCACAGGTTGAAATCCACTGTCCTGGCAGAAAGAAATTAAGCTTCTGATTGTTGAGAGATCAATAATACATCATAACTCATCCCACTGGGAAAACTTCTCTCCACCAACCATCCATCTATGATCCACATTAGGCTACAGAAGGACACTTGTCACATAAATGACAATTTGTTTGTTCTGTGCATGATTACAGGACCAAAGCAACACTTTATCAAAAAGTCACCTTCCTCTCCAAGAAAAAAGAAAACCCGTCTTGAACCTCAAATGCCTAGTAATCATAATTTGCTTTGCCATTGAAAAAATATTGAAAAAAAAAATATATAAGAAGGGTATCACATCAACTTTTGTTCAGAAGACATCTGTTGGTTCCATGAAGCCATAATCTATTTGCATACCATATCTTCACCATTTTTCTCCCAGGGAACCTCCATGTCTCAAAATAAAGCTAATTTCTCCCTTTTGCCTTGTCCCTCCTATTGCCTAAACCCTTCTAACTTTGCTCCAAGTACATCTTGCTTTGGCAAACGCCACCTACTGACTGCCCAAACGGCCTCTAACTTTCATTACCAGGAAAAGATTACCAAAACACAAAATATGGAGGCAGAACAGCAAAGAGGAACGGGCAGGAATAACACATAGCCTGGTCAGACCTTTCTTAGTGACAAGTTGAAAAAGACAGTATTTATGGTGCACCTGAGACACCATTAGCCTTACACAGTGAACTGGGGTAGCAAGACTGCCCCCCTTCCTACAAACCAGCTAGATTTTTGCATGTATGCATATATATCTGTTCATGTGCATAGACATGTTTATACGTACTTTCAGGGTCACAGGAGAATATTTCTATTACAGTTCTAGGTCATTTTTAGCTCCTGCTATCCTACGATTTAGGCCAAGAAAAGCCCTTTTGAAGTCTGAAGGATTATTATCTAAGAGCAAAAGTACAGACAGCTCTCCTGTGCAGCCAAATCTCTCCTTTATGCAAAAGCAAGTGACGCACAGGGCAAATTTCTGAACTGCTTGATTATTTCCCTTTTATCTACAAGCTTTATGAATATTGAAGGTCCTTTGAAGGACTTTGGACTTCACCACTCAGGCTCCAAACCGAGAGACAGTGTTGTATAAATACCAAACAGAAAAGGCTTAGAGTCTCATACACTGAAAAACATTACTGACTAGAAGATAGCTGCTTAACAGCTTTTCAACAGTAAATTACTTGGAGTTTAACAGTAATCTCTGACAATGCCACTTGAGTAAGTTAATATCAAAGCTCACTTAACTGATAAAATTATTTTAGAATATCTAGTCAGCAAGTAATAGGATCTGGATATTTCAGTCCCTCACAGGGCAAGCCTTCAGCACTGAAGGACAGCTACTAAGAAATCGACACTCATTGGTAAAATCCCTTACTCCTTCATCATAAAATTCTCCGGAATTGCCCTGGAAGAGGCTTATCACATTCAAATACCTTGTTTCATGCATGGAAGCCATTTGCTACCCTCTCAGTAGCTTAGATGCTGGCACTAACTCATGGGATCAGACCAGGATTCCATCCTTTTTCATGCCCTCTGACACCAGCCGATACCAGACATTTCTGCAGAAAGCAAAAAGGCTGTTAAGAGCTGCAGAAGCAAGGACAGTCTTTCCCTTCAAGTTTCACCCTCATCTCCACCACTGAGCATCAATCAGCTCAAATTCTGAGTATGGAGTATAACGAATCAGTCTAAATGTAACTCCAGTTCAGAAAGAGTTCTCTACTTTCCTACTTGCTTCACAGTACTCAGTTTTATGAAGACTCATTATTTGTCTTTTCTTTCCTATAACAACTAAAGTCTTGGTCCTCCCAGGGGCTTCATAAGATAAAATTTTTCCTACTCATTTTATTGCCCTTCTTCAAATCCCTCTACTTTAGGAGAATTCTTTTCCAGACAGTGATCTGTACAACACAGTTTATTTCAGGTAAAATCCACTGACTGATAGAATACGTTGCTCATACTATGTCTTCTAGCATCTATTTTTGACCACAGCTGTATGTGCCTTCAGCAATAAACAAGGTGTATTTCTTCTGCTAGTAATGTTAAATCTTTCCTTGGTGTAGGAGTAGTCAACATTTCTCCCTAAAAAAAAAAAAAAAAAAAGCCAAAAAAACACCACACCCTAGATCTTCACGAAGTGCAGTCTAGTCATCTTTCTTGCTTATTTTTCCAAGTGACATACAGGTTCTTAGTAATATGAATAACTACAGAGAAATTCAGCTCCTTTAATGGCCATTTCCAAGGACTCTTGAGGTTCCTTACCACTCATGCCTCATTTCTGGAGATCCGCCTTTCCATTATGGGGGTGGATGGATGAGATGATGATGGCTTTGGTGCTTCCTTGAGCTCCTCACTTTCAGAGGACTTTCTTTAATACAAGAAGAATCAACAACCTTTTTGTTCTAATTGTATTCATACTACCTTGTAATTACTCAGTGCTGAACAATTAGCTCTGTCTTGAGCATCCCAGAATAACTGTTTTCTACATTTTCACTTGATTTAAGAGTTCACACTAGCTTGTTATCTACTTCTATCAATACCTGGAGAAATAGCTGTTCAAACTTGACCCACAGGGTGTGAAATAAAGCTATACACACAAGTACACCAATATGAATTTTAGGTCTGTATCTGCGTCAACAGTAAACAGCTATTGGCTTACCTACATCTGTAATGTTACAGCTTTGGATTACAGGATGAAAGTTATATGGGTCTTTACATCATTCAATAGCTACCCAGTCAGAGCTGTTTATTAGTTACTGGAACGGAAAGTCTCTTATAACCTCAAAATCAATTTGACACAGCTGTCTAAGCATATCTTAGTCTTCCTTCCGATCTACATTTTGTTTGCTATGTACAGACCTTTTACTTGTTTACTGCAGTTTACTACAAGAAGCAGGTAACAGTTGTGAAAAGAACACAAGCTATTTCAAGGATTGCTCCATTACTTCAATGAAAAAACACCACCAAACCAATAGTCCTTTCTTTGCAATGGTTGACTTCTAATTTTCCTGCAAAAAAATGTGTTTGTGTAAGCAACATGCTGAAATAGCAAAGTGTATAGCTGTCAGTGAAGTTTCTCTTCCACTGCCCTACCTCCTCAGGTCTAAAAGGCAGATGACTAATCAAAGGTGATCAGATGCAGGAAGAAAGTCCTAGAAGCACAGAGGAAGAGATGTAATTGATATATTTGAGTTACAGTGGAAAAAAGGAAAAACATGAACAGCTTCACTGAGTGTGCAACAGTAAGACATTTTAGTCTGTTTGAAGTCATCATAATCTCTCTCACAGAACACTAGCTTTTATAATAGAAGACCACCTTAGCAATTAAGTAAAACCAGTGCCCAAGAACATTTAGAGGCTGAGGGCAGTCTGACATCTAATTACATGGATTTGAGCCGCCAGTTATCAAATCTTTTATCTCTATTCCAAGCATTCTAAAGGCACAGCAATTTATAGCAGGCAGTCTAAATCCTCTAGTTGAACTTTTCTTCCTCAAAATAACACACAATATAATCCGATATCCAAGCAAAAAAATGCTGCCAGCACATATGGCATATTTGCTACTAACAAAGTAAGCATTTAAGAAGGGCATTCCAGCAGACAGGAATTTTATTTGCCAAGAATTCAGGGGGTTTTTTTTTATATATACAATTTTCTTTTTACATAGGAAACCAAGACACAAGGGATACAAGAGTTTGTAAAGGTTTCAGGAGGCTACAAAATATGTCCATGTGAAAAACCATTCTCAGAAGCCAACATTCAAAGTAAGATGAAGACTGAAAACACCTTCCTTGAGGCAGCTCACATCCTGACATTAACATCTGTGTGACAAATTTTTACAGAACAAGCTGTTGTAGGGACTTCAGTCCCTGAATCGTGAGTCTCAGTGGAAGAGCTTAAATATAAAGGGGAGCAAGAATCTTCTGTTTTCCAGGTACTGACTAATCCAGATGTGTAACAACTTCTCTCTTCACTGGAGTCTCATCCGTTTTTCAGGTGGTCCTTTAGCACCAGCACTCTGCTGAGCGTTCTTTACAGTCTCTTTTTCCTCTGGCTTGACTGCTTCAGGGGCTGGTTCTGGTTCCTTCTTGATTTGATCCACTTAAAGTAACAGCAAAGGCAAGTTAAATCTCCAATTTTTATTCCTAAAATACTGCTCAGAGAACTTAGAAAATATTGATATCAAAGGGGCAAAACTAATTTCAAAGGTATGAGAATAACCAAGGACTGAATTCATACCTATAAAAGTGGAACAGATTGACCAGATACAGTTCATGCTTTTCCTGTCTTGAGGTTGCTTACAATCAACTCAAAGCCTTTACGTGCTTTCTTGACCTTGTAGCACCATGCAAAATCACCAAGATACTGGACTGACTGAACTGTTCCCTCATTCACCCTTTCACCCTCCTCCTGCTTGCAAAGACCACTTCCTGCATTTGGACCTTCAGGCAATACAGTTTTACAGACAGAAAGGGCAGGAGTAGAATGCACATTTTTTCAGTTTCACTCTGCCTGTCAGAGAGAACTCTTGTCTAGTACTTTGCTCTCACCTAGTACTTTGCACAATTATGCAATACCAGAATTCCCAACCACCTCAGCAGCAGCAAACAGCCCATATAGCAACTGGAAGACACTGCTATACAGAGTGTATTTAAGTCTTGTAAGAATATGAGAGTTTTACCTGGGACTGGCTTTTCTCCAGGCTTTTGCTGTAGGGTAGGAAGGAAAAAAAAAACACCCAAACATCAGTGGAGCCATAGTCACAATTCTTAACCCTTCCCACTATTCACTCAGGAATACAAACCAAGCAATGCACCCTTATACGTAAGAGTTGAGGTTAGAAGGGATCACTTTAAATGAAATCCAATTAACATTTTATAACATCCATTTTTCCTCTGACAATTGAAAAGCACTAAAGCAAAAAATACACAGTTAGCCAGTCTTTCCCACATCTGAGGAGTAAACAGTTTTGTGAGATACTAGAAACATAATTTCCTTTGCTCCCAACCAGAAGGCCTGGTGGAACAAATGGCTACTAGAGATGATCAGAGGTAATCGCAACTCCTGCACAGAATGCCAAGAATTTCCACGCTAATTAATTAGCCTCCAGAACAATGGAGTAACTAAAATAAAAAAGCTGCGGTGGCTTGATTGAGCTCACACAGCATGAAACTGGAAGCAGCAGCAAAATCTAACAGCTGACAAGAACAGACCCTCTGTGATTAGATAAGGAATTTGTATAATAAAATTCACCCTCCTAGCTTGCCAAGATCTTAATGACTCCTGCAATTACAAAGGGGAATCCTGTACTGCAATCAGAGCCTTCCATTTCAAATTCATTGTCTAATCCATGTTACCGTTGCAGAAAGCACACAAAATTCACATTCAGTTTCAGCTGTTCAAGTATTTATGACTGCCTTAAGTTCTCAGTAAGTTACAGTAATACTATGGTTTATATTAGAAGTGTCATACCTGAACAAATCTGGGTGGAAACTTTTGTCTGAGGTCTAACAGCAAAGCATCTACCCGTTGCCTTTGGAAAATAGAACTTGGTTCTTCTTTCTTCTTGGCTTTTGGTTTAGCTTTCTCTGCAAGTCACAGAAACATAAGAGAAAGCTGTATTAGAAGTTCTGTTCTCTTGGCAGCTCTTTGTTGGGTGACAAGTTGATATTTGTCTCTCCTCTAAACTTCACCTACATTTTCCCTTTCACATCAGTTATTTTTTGTGGGGAAGACAGATTAAGGACAACTCTTACTTCCTGAAAAACTAGTCTGGCTTCTGAAAATGTACTTTGGTCGCCAGTGGGTTGAAAGGTGCCCACTTTTTTGACAAATGGCTCACCATTTTCATCTCCCACCCATGCCTCAATGTTCATCTCCACCAGCACAGAAGAGCAAGAGTCCTCCACCTGGTAGGGAGCACCATCTTACTCTTCAGATACTTAACCTCATCTTGACATCATCACTGTGCATTGCCTC